GCTGCGGCCGCGGCGGCCGCCGCTGCGGCACCCGGCAATCCCTATCAGGGTTACTCGCTCACCAACGTCGACATGTCGAGCTTCCAAGGCGTTGACTGGGGATCTGTCTACGGGATGGGAATGTATGTTTAAGAAGGAGAATTTCACGATGCCGCGTCTTAGCTTTCACTGATCACTTCGATCTTCGACTTCCTCTTTCTCGGGGATTTTTAGTGGACGATATATAATGTACATATGTATATGTATGTGTATATATATATATATATATATACATATATATGTACATACGTACACACACGGGGATATAGTCGTTCCCCGACGATAGATATCGGCGCGAGTTTTGCCTTTCTCGATTCTTATCTGGGAATTCGGTGTTTTTGGAAACGGTTCACCGCAACACATTTGCGCACCCGCAAACACAAAATGATGATTACTCGACGAAGGCGGCGATTTCTCTGTTGATGATGTACTTCCGATTACCGCTTTCACCGGTTGTTCTCTGATATTGCGGGAACTGTGCTTTCGTCATGGAATAAGAATCGCGAAAAGCCGTTAAGAACAAAGCGAATCCGGTATGAAGAAAGAAGAAATTTCTCAGTCTCTTCGTCATTTGCACATTTGGGCGATGAGCGAGTAAAAATAAAAGCGAAGATTGTCAAGACAATGAGAAGAAAAGGAAGAGGAACACACTTTTGAAGACGAAGAAGAAGAAGAAGAAGAAGAAGTAGCGCGACGAAGGAAGACTTCATCTGTATAAATGTACTTTTATTGACTATATATCTTCTTCTGTATTTTTTTCATTCAACTTTATATCGACATGCGTTACTTAATTTATTGTCATCCGGGAACCTTCGGTAATTTCGCGCGTTAACAAGTCATAGCGTTTCAGCGCATTTTGGTTCCTACTTAGATTAACGCGTTACGCATTAGAGTCGGAAACACGCGCTCATTTATGTTGCCGCGCCCGGTAAATTAATTAGCGATTTAATTAACGCGATCCATTAGCAACGCTCGTTTCACAGCGCTTGTGGTAGCTTCTGGCCTCTTCGGTTGCAATAGTCGTTTTCTCGGTCGTCAAAACGATAAAAGGAAGAAACCTGAAAGGCAGTGGGCGCTCCGAACACGAGATTTACTTTCTTCCCCTTTAAAGTTCAGAAACCATTCCATATCGTCTTTCTCCTTGTGTTTCCGTTTCTTTCCGCCTCTCTCTCTCTCTCTCTCTCTCTCACTCTCTCATTACACATCCGAGTTTCTGTTCGGAGATCGACACGGAAGTGTCGCGATGTATCAATCATATTAATGTATCAAAATACTAAAGCGCGCGCACTTTCTCCGTTATATGTCGCGATCAAGTACAAATCAGTGCGATTTTCTAAATCCGGGAAAAAATATTTAATCCGAATTTCTACTTTTTGAAGTCGAAAATCGCTCGGACTCTTATCTCTCAGCGTAACTCAACTTGGAATGAAAGACTAATGATTAAGAAGAGAAATTAGAAGTATTGTAGAGTGCCAAGTGCCAAAACAAAACCGAAGGAAGACCTTTATCACTGACGGACAACGGCGACGAGCTTTCCCGAAAGCTCTTGTGTCCGACTCGCGTCTTCTTTCCCGAGTCCGAGCGACGATGGTTTCGACAAAGTTTCTCGGTCGCGTCACTTCCGCTCGTTCTTCCTTCCCTTTCTCGCCTTCCCTTTTCACGCGCCTCTTCTCGCCTTTCTAGGGGCAACAGGTCAATACGACACAATCCACTTTGCGCGACAGCATCCGCGAGCGAGCGAGCGGAGGCTCTCCTCCGCTGTATTACATTGGCGGCACCGACGGATATGTAACATAACATATATACGCGAGCAACATCACGCGGCACACGTACGTGTACGTAAAATACATACATAAGTTATGTATAATATGTATAGATATACATATACACACAACATGTACGCATACGTACATATATACATACATATATATATACACATATATTTTTCTTCAAATAATGGAAGACAATATTTCTCCGCTCTTCATCGCGTTTTATTAAAATATAAGAGTAAGAGACGTTTAGCGAAAACGAGTGTAATTCAAATTTAATAAAGACTTCTAGCGAGTGTACTGTAATCCACATGCGAGTGTAGAGAGGATTCGCATATAATTGATGAGAAGATTGCACGATATTAAACTAGCGTTTAAGAATTATATAGGTGATATTATTACAAGTATCATTACGTGCGTCACTTGATGAGCTCCTATATAAAAGAGAGAATAGTGAAGGCGGTATTTTTTTTTTTTTTTTTTGTCTAAGTTTAAGCTTATAAGCGATTATAGCGATTTATTATTGATATATTCAAAACACAGAAAATAATTTATAAAAAACAAAAATAAGGAATAATAATAATTTAAGCGAGAGAGGAGGTTCTTTCTCCTTCACGGGAAGCCTCGAGGAGAAAGAAAAAAAAAACAAGAGATACTTAACAGATATTATTACGCATCTTTGTAAGAGTACACGTAAGAATTTTTGTGCAACCGCGTAATCTGCGTAATCCGAGGAACTCAAGAATTGAGAATAGCTCACGTCACACTCACAAGAGATAAAGTAGGTTTAAGTCTTGCGTCGCGTAAGTGAGAGAAGAAAAGGAATAGAGTATTAAAGAAAAAAAAAAGAGAGAGAGAGGGATGTTTGTTAAGGAATTCGCGATAAAAAAAAAAAAAAAAAAAAAAAAAGGTAATTAGTTTAGTTTATACTTGAAGCACACGCCCCGAGATCGACTCGCCGTGAGACGAGTACACCCCCCTCCCCGTCAGTGTTCTCTTTTCTTGCTAAAAAAAAAAAAAACCTTCGTGTGTAAATATTCGCGTGAAGTTCCTTTTTAATCGATATATTTATCTTTTCTAGAGAGATATTTTTTTTATTCTTATTAAATTATTCGTCCGAGTATGGCAGCAACGATTGGAATTTGTATTTGTAGTCTGTAAGTGAGCTCTCGTATCGTTCAATATTGCACGCGATGTTCGTTTAATCATTTTTGCGTGCAGCACATTTGTTTGATTAATTTATTTTTTTATTTTAGTTTTTTTTCTCTTTGTGTCGTCTTGTCATGTCGTATTATTATTATTATTATTATTATTATTTGTAGTTTGTAAGTGTTAAGTGCGATATGTTACGCCTTATAACTTATCGCCTGAATGATCTCACGTCGATTGGTATCGGCGAATCCCGAGTGTCAGTGCGAATCTTGGCGGTTGTACCTCCTCGAATTCGTACGAGAAAGATTAATGATGATCACACGACGAGACGAACACGGGGCGTCCTTGTCTTGAGAGAGAGAAAGAGAGAGTGAGAGAGAGAGAAAGAGAGAGAGAAAGATGAGAAGAGAAATGAAATCATGCGATAAAAGAAATTTCGATAAGCAATATACGATTGACTCAAACTTTAAATTACATTATCATAATTATTATACGAGTATTACTAATGATAATACAAAAGGTCGCGCGACCACGCTTGTTCGCGCGCGTAATTGATTTAGCGGGTTAATTCTAGGATATAAAAACAAATAAAATACTCGATGTGAAACAATCTGGATAATAATTATTGAAACTGCGAGAGAGAGAGAGAGAGAGAGAGAGAGAGGGAGAGAGAGAGAGAGAGAAAGAGAGAGAGAAAGAAAATGAAACACGTATTAGACAAGCGAGAAAGAGAGAGATCCGAGCAGTTGAACAATATAGTAATATTCTTTAGTGATACAACGTACTTTAATACACATACATTTATGTGAACAAAAATATATATATATATAATTATATACATAAACAACGTAAGTTTAAGGATAACAAAAACTCGCGAGTGATATATTTATGACATATATTAATAAAGAAATACTACAAAGTAAGCGCGTGCGTACATAGGAGTGAGAAAAACGAGCGCAAAAACGAGTAATAGTAGACACACATTAGAGAGAAACGAGCAAACAAAAAAAATCAATTACGGAGAGAGAAGAAAGCTTAATAAACAACTCTCTCTGGCGAAATGTCGTGAGCAAAGATCGGTTGAGAGGCGTACGTCTTGCTCCACTTTTTCATCTTCGAACTCTGTGTAACTCTTGTAAGCCAATTATGTGCAGAATGGATGCGTACTTAAAAAGAGTCCCCCTTCTCTCGCGAACATCCCCCGAATATCGATATCCTGATTCTCGTTCCTTCTCCGCCTTCGATCCATCTACCTCTCTTCTCATCTTCCTCCTCACGGCTCTTCGTTTTCTCTCCTCTCGCTTTTCTTCGTGAGATCGGAAATAAAATTTGTAAATTGGAAATATGACTGCTTGAAAAGGGGGACTTGTAAGTGCTGCGGTATTTTTTTTTTTCTTTTTTTTTTCTTTTATACTTTTGCGAGCGAGAGAAGAGGAAAGGGGGAGAAGCGCGCGCGCTATTCGGAGGATGTTTCAAGGAGGATCTCGAGCCGAGACAGTGTGGTCGAGCCGTCGACGCGCGCGTCCCTCGATAATAATGTATTTATTTTCAAAGTTGCCTTCCGGAAGCAGAGAAATCCCAAGATGGACGTTCGCGAGAGGGCTCGACGGTGCCGTTTCGCGAAACTTTTTTCCAAGTGCGAGAATCGGGGATTGGAATCGAGAAGTACCGATTTCGATGAGTTCAATTTTCATGCGCCAACGACGCTGGCGCGTAAAGAAAAACAAATGCACCTCGTTGTTGCACATATATATTCCTTCGTTACGAATGAATTCGAAATAACGATTCGAGATCCGTGGGTGAGATACCTCCTATTATCATTATCGCGTGTCTGCGGCGTCGAAACTCGATTTCACCGAAATTTCTTCGCGTTGTTGTCAATCCTCGATCGAACATAGAATACTTCGCCTAGTTTCTACGTTCTATATATAATAATACGGGTCGAAAAAAAAAAAGAAAAAAAAAAAAAAAACAAAGCCTCAATCGTCCCGGGACACACACCCCGGACGGGATCGTCGTCGAGACTGCAAATCGAGACTGCCTCGCCGCGTCTCGGAAATATCTGATGGCGATGTGTATCCGGTATTTTAACGGGCGCGCGGTTTAGTACACTCCTCTCGGTTTGACGAAGAGCGAGCAACAAAAAAAAAAAAAACAAAAAAAAAAAATTCACGTGGAATTTCAGCAATAAATTTTTAGTATGATGTGGGTTGTTTATTCCGTGAAGCGTCGCTCGACGTTTTTCTCGAGCTATCATTTTCGGGAAAGAACATCTTATCGCAATGTCGTTAATATCGCCCCCCGACGAGAGACGTGACGATTTTGCCGATTTTTTAATCGATCTTTGCAAAACGTTGTGAGCTGTAATAGATTTCAATCTATGATATCGCCTTTGACGAGAAGAAGAAGAAGAAAATAAAGAGGAGGAGAATTATATATGATGTCAATTCGTTATGTGAAGCATTGACTTGTGAATATATACGGTGTACATTGAAAATATACTTGCGCGATCGATATATATATATAATCAATATATGTAATTAAGTTTCATTACAGCTCATAACGCGGTGCAGTTATTAAATGCGTTGCTGCGGCTGCAATAAAGTCAAAGGCGTCGGAAACTTTCGAGAGACGGGATCGATAAAATGCTCGTGCGATGGTGACCCTTTCTAGGGCAGAAAATTGAAAACAATTTTCGATGAACTAATTGACACAACATTCTGCGTCTACATAAACAAGTATTTTGAAATCACGCAAGTATTTTTTTTTCTCGGTGCTGTAAATTAAACAAAACAAATGCTGATCGATAATCCCCTATAAAGGGTTGCAAAATTTCAGTCGGTTAACAATCGTCTCGATGAAGCGTCGCGATGATGCTGCTGTAAAGTTTAGTCATGAAATCGTCACCGTCGATCGACGAGAAACAAACGTTCCACGAATTTTTCGCAGCGGCGAGATTTCGAACGTTCGCGACGCGGACGATCGAACCTCGTCCTGCGTCTTGATGTTTCACATCTCCTATATCTAATTTATCTGCTCAGTGGCAAATAATGCATCGTTTATCATCGAGAAATGTGTCACCATGTGAGAGCCACTTTTCTCTTCCGATCAGCAGGTCCTCCTTTTTTCCCTCTCCTCTCGATCTCTCCCAGTACATCCCAGGTATCTCCGATTCCCTTAGTATTATATATATTATATATATATATATATATATATATATATTTGTATTTCACTTTAATATATATAATTATGTATATTGCGAATGTTGATAGAGTAATTCTTTAGTGTAGCTGGTATTTTTTGATGAGCGCTAACCATCACTAGTGTATGAAACGTAGGTGAAGCATGCTGGTTGAAACATCTATCCTCCATTTAATCGTCGTCCACTTGTTAATCCTCCGAACCTCCTCTTCCTCCTTGTCTTCCGCTTTGGTTTTTTCTTTTATATTATATTTCGCTTGCAGTTTTTTCTGCTTTTCCATTGTTACCAAAAACTTTTTGTTTGTTTGTTTGTCGCTCGAACATAGATTAGAGTATAAACGAAACGATAAAATAAAAGTCAGGATAAGCGAAGCGTTTGACTGCCAGAATAATTTATACACAATATTTTGCCACGTTGACGTGTTAATTGTCGTTATTTCACTCGCGGTCGATAATAATAAATCGCGTTTCTTTCTCTCGTTCGATTAAGTTATCTCGTTCGATCGCGAAATCGTAAAAATCGCAGTTATCGATAATCTCGAGATCTTTCGTTTTACGAGCCTCAACGACGATCCAACGACGTAAAGATTTAATTAAATCTTGCGCAACGCGATGAGATATGATTTCTTCTAACATTTTCGCGCGAGTAGCTTTGCATTTTTTTTTTATTCCCTCTTTTCCCGTTTGTTTTTTTTTTTTTGGTCGTTTATTTAATTTGTCGTTCCCTCTCGATCCACATGCTACTTCCAAGCATCCACTTTCATCATCCAGAAATGCTCGCGGCATAAGTCCTGTTTCGGTCGTCAAAAATCAAGACGTATAAAAAAAAAAAAAAAAAAAAAGTATTATGGGAGAAGAAAAAGAGAGAGGGAAAGAGAAAGAGAAAGAGCGAAAGAGAGACAGAGAGTGAGTGAGAGAGGAAGAAAAGAATGAAAAACCGAATTGTGTAGTGTATATATAAAACTCATCCCCGAACTCTCTCCCAACGTTGATTGCGTAAGCGCTGATATTCGATACTCGTATTTACTACTATTACTCATTATCATTATTATCGCCATTATCACAATTATTATTATTATTATTACTATTATTATCGCCATTGATTATTATTATTATTCTTGCGCATCAGCATCATTATTATGCTTATCGTTGTTATTACAATTATGATTATTATTAGCGATTTGCATTACACACTCACATCCCATGCTGTGCGACACACACACACACACACAAACACAACTCACACGTGACGCATCGCGTGCGTGCTCGCGCAGTTTTCTCAGACGGAAAAATTTAATACAGTGTTCAATTTGTGTGTTGTTCAACTCTTTTCTTTTTTTGTTTTTCTGGTTCGCAAAATAGTTCCTGCGTTTTCCCTTGTTTCACAATGTTTGTTATTGCACTCTTTTTTCCTTAGTGCAACGTACGTGCCATAAAAAAGAGGATAATTTCAAGCTGAAGCTCAATTAATACACGCGAAAGCGATTTGCGGTCGCTGATTGCTTCCTGAAAAGAAAGGGAAACAAAAAAACAGCGTCGGGGAAAAGTCCGAAGGGTGTGCGAGAGGGTGATTCCGTCTTTATGTAAAGTTACCCCAGGGTAGGGAATACGATCAATGACGGTAGTTTACTACTCGTGCTCTATTCTGTCGCCAGCGTCGCGGCTCGAAATTCGAGAGCAGCGGGAATCGCTTGCGGTCTCTGCTCGATTGTCTCGACTTTTTCGCTTCTCTCTTTGTTTTGTTTGTTTGTTTTTTTTGTACAGATTGATTTTAGTTACAAGCACCATAAAAACCTAAATAAACACAAAATTTTCGATTTTCTACTCACGTTTTACCACTAGTTTTGTTTGCTCTTGCTCTTCTTTCGGCTTTTTGCTTGTTTTGACTTTCACGCCGTGTTATTTTCCCGATCAGTAAGGGAAATGAAAATCGACGAAATGGATTACGTATCCGCAACGCAATACGAAGTTTTGCGTCTGAGCACGCGCGCGATGAACACGCGTGCATCTCATGAAAACATGAAATATATTCACACAGATACGCACACACACACACACAATAAACACACACACATACGCATATATACTAACATATATGTTAACACATGCAAGGACAGGAAAATAATACGACGTTTAACGCAACAGTACGCTCGATAGCGCACGCCAAGAACACGAAAAACGTAAAGTAAAAATAGTATATAGGTTGATGCCTAGAAAAATTGCCAATAAAGTAGTAATTTAAAACTTGTAGCTAACCTCTATTTGTGTCTCTCCTTTTGTATTTTTCTCATTCAGATCGCCCCTTTTATTCCTCTCCCCCGCCCCCGCCTTATATATTATAGTTATAGATATATTCCTCGGGAATTTTCCCGGTCCATTTTTGCGGTTCCACTTTCTGTAACTTATTATTGACAAACCTTCGTATCTTGCCTAACTTGTTGGCAAAACAGTAATTGCGTTTTTTTTTGGTGCTGTATATATTTGATTACTCTATCTATTTATATGTGTACATTTATTTGTTCCTCTCTTCCTCTACTATTTTTTAGTCCAATATATATATATATAGTTACATATCATATATATGTATATATATATATATATATATATATATATATATATACATATATATACACATAGCGTATTATATTAGGTGAGTGCAAAAAAGTTTTGCTGGATTTCGTGATAAAAAAATGGACCAAGTAATTTTATTAAAAACGATTTGTTGTGTAGATATATATAATGAAAGCTAAAAGTATGACCTTTTCAACGGTATGACATATCTTTATATTTGCTGCCATAAAAGTGGATCGGAGTCACGCGACATTTTTGAGAAACCCATCAAAAAAGTTTTGCACTCACTCAGTATATTGTCATATAATCGGCCTTTCTTGTTAACTTATTTCTCTTCTGGTAAAATAATCATTGTGTTTTGACTTTTTTACATCACTAACGCTCGAACAAGCGCCTGTTCTTACGCCCCTGATAGAACCACGCGGCGTCGCGCGCCTCGCGGGGGTGGCAACCCGTTAATTGACTAATTAATATTAAATCGTGATTAGCTCCCGTTAACCCCGCTGGGCGTTCGTTTCGAGCCGCTCACTGGTTGGTCCGAATTCCCGTGGTTTATTCCGCGTCGAGACGACGAGAGATAAAGATCTGTAGTTTCCAAGATCAAAATCCGGATTAAAGGCTCAAAATGTGAGACGGTTTGTCAAGTTAAAATTTATAGAATAAACAAAGATTTTTGCGTATAATTATGAAGCATCTTTTTGCATCCAGATAACGTAGAAGTAATTTTTTTGAAGTCAACACACGTTTTATACTTCTTATCAGAATTTTCACGCAGCGTAAAAAAAAAAAAAACATTTTTAATTATATGTGTGCAAGAAATACATATTTTTATTGTTCGTATTTATAAATTTAATCATTCGATGAGACCAAGTTGAATTCTATCATCGCAATATTAAAGTTCGGTTTCTGCTGATGATATAAAAAATTTATTTAATCGAGTAGATAGATTTATCACTTCAAATCGTTATACTTTTAGAATGTTCTTCGAGAGGGAGATTTCTCTCTGAATTTGTGATCGTGAGCTCTCTCTCTTTTTCTCTCTCTCTTTTTCTCTCTCTCTTTCTCTCTTTCTTTCTTTCTCTCTCTTTTTCTCTCTTTTACCAGAAAAAAGTGGTGCCTCAAATATACGAGAAACATCAAAAACTCGCACAGATCTCGTAAAGAGGAATATTACATTTACTCCACTAACGCCGACCGACTTTCAACTTCGATATCACACTTGTTGCTCTATTTGCTGCTTCGTCTGCAAAGAAGATTACTGACATGCGCGCGCTATACAGTATCTCCCGAAAACACGAGATGTTTCCTTTTGAAAGCTTCTTTAACACATTTTGTCAGGACTGTTTCTTGAAGAAACTTCAGAAAAGAGAGAGAGAGGGAGAAAGAGAGAAATACATTCATTTTCTTTTTGTATCTTCTGCATTTAAGGAACACATCTTTATGATTTCTTTTATATATTGTGGAATTCTGTCGAAATTTATATAGGATTGAATAAAAACCATTTTTATTTATTTTTCATTTTTTTCTACTTTCGAGTGTTAATTTAATATTAAAAAATTACAGTTTTGTCTTTCGTAAAATTGAAAGCTCCGACAGTGTGTGATTAAAACAATTAAACAGTTAAGGTTGTAACAAGAAAATGGATTCCGAGGTCTTCACACGAGTTTTGGCCAACCAGAAAATAGCGCATTTTTCTCTAGATAGTCAATCTTTGATTATTATATATCCTGTTTCCCTTTATCAACTCTGACGCTTCTTAAGTGGATTAAAACAGTCGGCAAATTTGTTGTAGCGCATGCATCTTAGTTAGACCATCTCTGGCACACTCTAACCGACAAGTAAGAACATACATATATATTTCGACATATCTAATTGACGTTTCCTTATCATCATTAATTATCCTACAGTATTTCCCGCGTTATGTTAACGCCTTTAACTCACTTAACTCAATCTTCTCTCTGTCGAATATATCAAAGAGCCGTTCTTCTTTCTCAGGAAGCGATATAGCTGTTGCAAAAAAGCGCACCATCGGGTTGTTCATATTTTTGTTTAAATTTCGTGTTAACTGTTGTAACAGTGGAAATGAGACAAACTAAAACTAAAAAAGCAGAGTTATTGGCGCGGAAATATTGGTTGTGTCAGTACACACATTTTGGATACGTATTTTTTATATCGTAAAAGCAATTTAGTTAAATCCCGTAACTGCCTAAAGCAAACTTTTAATGAAATTTGAATTAAATCGGGGACAGCTATAAATGTGAGTGTAAGAGAGAGAGAGAGAGAGAGCATGTATGCGTGTGTGTAAAAGAATAAAAACACAATTTTAAATAAATAAGCGGATAAATGGGGGAGATAATTTTCATAACAATGAGACATGATAAAGCTGTTTTCGTAGTAAAAATAACTCTGCGCAATCTGTTATTTCTGATTATACATATATTTAGCGGAAAAATATAAGCTATATATATATATATATATATATATATATATGTACATATATATGTATATATATATAGCTTTACGACCAGCAAAGCTATTCGCATTCCGTACATTGTTACATCCCATTTTTGCATCTTTTCTCTTACTTTCCTCTCTTTCTCACTCTCCTTTCTTCCTTGATGATATCACACACGTTTCCAACTTTCTTTCCCTTTCGCCGAGCATAAATATTACATATCTACATCTAGACGACGCGTACACTTTGCTAATTTATATGTATATAAAAAAAAGTAGATGTGTGTTTTACTAGCTTTTGGAGGCGCGTAGGCGTATTTTCGCCGTGTGAGAACAACGAGACCACATGAATCTCATCCCGTTTCCGAAAATCCAATTTTCACTTATGCTCGATCGGAAAAGCGCCTTTATCGATGAGCGTCGTCTATTTCTTTTTTCTTTTTTGTTTTTTTTAAGCGCGCGTATCACAAAATTATTATCACATTTCAATAAATCCTCCGAACATTTTTACAAAATTTCTATATTTTTTTATTAAATATTAAACATCAAGTGTGTTTTATTTTACATCGCATAAAATTTACTTGTTACGTATTGTATCTCAAAATGTAGCGCGCATTTATCGCGTTCAAAGAGAGAAATAAAATCCCCGCGAAGCGGAGCTGGTCCGTGTTCTTGTTCGCGTGATGAAAAGTATGTATAATCGGTTGCTTTGTAATAAAAATTTCTAGAACGGTGGAATTGCGGCAGAAAGAACAGCGAGATACATAAATGATGCTCTACAATCACGATGTGTTGTGAGAGAGGGAAGATGAATCCGCGCCCATCGGTAAACGCGTTCTGCCAACGCTCCACGAGCATATCGTTACCAATCCACAGCACGGAGAAAGAAAACTCTTCCAAGTTGTTGACTGAGTGATGTACCGCGTTATAAAGAGGACGGCGGGACTGTTTCTCCGACACGAAAAACAATCTTATTACTCGCGACACGCGGCCGCAAGTTTTCTCTTCCGCGGTCTCGTATTACTTGACGACGCGAGTTTCCCACACTCGCGTCGTGTCCTCTTCGATGACCAATAGTAATATCGGATACGGACGACGTATATATCAGAGGACGCAACATACGCGTATGTTGTTACGCGTCTTGCCTTTGAAAAAAAAAGAGTGATCTCTACGCGTTACATCGTGACGCGATCTCGTCAATCTTGTTAATCGTAAATAGGTTTACGCGCAGGAACGAGAGTGATAGAGCAATTTAGTCGAACACGGGGGGTGTAACATATTACTCTAAAATAGATGTCGCAATCGGGTTTTTTTTATACGTGTCGGTATAACACACGATATGATATGCGCTTATACTCCTTTGTTATATTTTTTCCTTCTTCCGTGCAGCGGCACGGAACACAAGAGAGACAAAGAGAGAGCTAAGAATATTCTCGTTAAATGTGATAATAGAATGGATATCTATCCTCTCCGAACGAAAAAACGTTGTATAAGCAATAGAAAAAAAAACAAAAAAAAATCCGAAAACAGCGAACCGAGGATTGAAGCGTAATTTGAGCGAATATTGCGCTCCTCACACGCTTATCTCTCGCCAATCCCGACACATTTCTTCATTCGAAAGAAAAAAAATTAAAGAAAAGAATCAGTAAAAAAAAAAAACAAAAGATTCTTCATTCGCCGAAAAGGTACGTCCGAGGAGGAATCGAGGAGGCTGTATAAATCTTCATCTCTCTCGTATGATTTTTCGTGATGTACCCGGAAATAAATAAACGAAAGTATGTGTGCGCGCGCGCACACACACACAAAACGTACACATATACAATGAACACACACACACACACATCCGCATCTTTTCTTCTTTCCTTCGATTTTCATCCCCTTTTCAACCGCTTTCTCCGTGCGATCACATCCCACCCTTTCCAAGAACCACCTCGACCATCATCATCAACAAATCGTGTAACAAATTGATTCGACACAACCCGAGTGCCTTAAATCCGATCTCTCTACCCGTCTTGTTCTCCATATGTAACGAACGAAAAGCAAAATGAAAAGAAAGAAACGGAAGAGAAAGCCCTGGAACGCCCGCGATTTAGACGCATAATTAATTTCTATAGGCAGTAGAATTGAGTGTCGATTGCTAGAGAGAACGCAAGAACGCAAAAGACTCCGACGAAATCTGTGGACCGTTCCGAGGGACCCGTTTGATACGTGCAGCACAGCGAAAAAAATCAGGTAAGACTACTTTCTCAATTTTTNNTTNCCCCCCCCCCCCCCGTTCCTATCCATTCGGTTTTCTTTTTCACTTCGATATTGCCCTTGTAGATCTCTTTTTGTACCTTCTAGACACGTCGAGCTGGTGTTTTTCAATCGGAATTTCCACCACGAAGAGGGCGGAGAAAAAGCCCTCTTGAAAACTTCCACCTCTTGAAAATTCGAGATCAAATGTTTTACAATTGATCTTTCGAAAGTATAAAAATTTCAGATGTTTTTGTTTTTGCGAAAAAGAAACTTTAAAACAAAAAAAAAAAAAAGAGAAGAACGCGCTACCTTTGGTTTACGTTGCCCCGATATAAAGCGAAACCGAACGACAAATCGCTCACATCCGAATACAGATTGTCTCGGCAAAGAGTTTCCGAGAGCAGGGAGAATAGTTTGAAAAACACTGGTGTTCAGACATTACGAAACTAATGTGTTTCAAGTTTTGATAGCATCGCATCCGTCGCACGCTGAAGGCAGCGTCGCTTCTTGCGACACATTTTATAAATATACATATATATACAACGTATACATACAAATGTATTGAAAATATCAAGTGTAGAGCTTGTTAGAGTATTCAGCGATACAAACTTTCTCTGAAAAGATTTCCAACGCAATTTAATTATTCGTACAATTGTGCGCAACAAATGTCTCACGAAACATATCCAACATTTTTTATGCAACAATAATAACAACAATCGAGATTATTCACGCGCGATTGTATCGCACAATATACGAGATATATCGTTGATCAACGGTAGTGGGGATCTTCAGTGTTTAGTAATTTAAAAATACGTTATAGATGAATGACAACGTTAATAATAAAAAAAAAAACAATATTAAATAATCCTATTGAACGCAATATATATATATATATTATAAAGCTAAAGAGAACAAAAGAAGAGATTAACGTGCGAATATTTAAATCACATTTTTTTTTTTTTTTTCAAAGACACGTAGAGACGGATGCGATGCACGCGGGCATCTGTATAGCGAGCATATTGGTGTGTGCCGGATACCGAATAACACAAATACCGTTTCCAGTGTACCTTACTTCCCGCTGTTAATAAGAAGAAAAAACGTAATATATATCACGTATTGTATAGTAAATGTCGTTCGCGTAGTTACTAGCAATATATAGAGTCATCGATGGTGGTAGGCGTAGTTCTGTGCATAATTGCGACTTTTTTTGGAGTAATCTGACAGAGTCGGGCTCGAGAGAGATCGGAAAGCGAGAAGCTAATGATGTTATTACCGCGTCAAGATTTCCGCGCACGCGGGAAGAACCCGTTTGCCAAAGAAATATTTCCTTTGTGATAAAATAAAATTACGCAGAGATCTCAATCGAGAAACGCGGAGGAGAGATACGTGTTTCAATTTCTCCTGTCACGTGACGAATCTTCGACTCTTTTTCGAATCCGATTCTGAGCATTACAGTATTGATGACTGATAGTTAAACGTGGAAACGATCGCGTTCCGATCGCGGCTTTGTGGAAAGAGGAGAGAAGACGCGTGGTCGAGTGTCACTTTCGAAGAACATTCAAAAAAACGCGACGGAGAGTTTCAACATCTCGAACTACGATATGTCAAAACAGCTCTCTGAGTTGTACGGGGTTAATAAATGAAGAGTATGAAATTTAAAATCGGAATGAGATACGTACGTTTATATTTTTTGTATATCATTTGTCATATCTTTACGGGAGATCGTTGGGAGGGGTGCTCGATAGTTTCTTTTTGTATAATCGAGATATCTATATATACGCGCGACAATCTCGATGGAAACGTATCGTTTCCACGGCGATATAATCTATTATATATATATATATATATAAAACTAGTGTCGGAGCTACTCGTTGTTGGGAAAAAAAATTGCCTGTATTGAAGCTTACAACGAGGACGCACCGTGCATGTGTAACGATTTGTACATAACTAACATATTTTCCGAGCGGCTGTCTTGCGTACGCGATAGATCTTCAATGAACGATAAAAGTGGATCGACGCCATATTGTGTTCTCTTTTCGTAATATCGATATTTTTTAATTTAATTTATTTTCAAACAAAAGAGAATTGAGAAACAGTCAATCAAGTCTGAGACTTTTTTCAGATGTTTTATTTATAATTTATTTTTTAGGTGTTACTCATGTGTTCTTTGTCACACGATGTCTAATTATTTTCAAGTATTTTATTAAATGAGCATTTTTGAGTTTTTTTTGTTTGTTATAAGTAATGTTTTTTTTTTTTTTTTAGTACATTCTTAAGTCTGTTTTTATTTTCAATGTGATTCTTTGATGTGATTCTTCTTCTTAATGTATAGTTTTATAGAATTATAAATTAGAATTATAATTTATAGAATTCTAATTGGAATAAAATTTTCTAATTAGAATAAAT